AATATATATATATATATATATATATATATAAATAACATAACTATATTGTAATAATATACAATAATGTGCGCAATCTGTCACACACACTGGAGTCTCGTCAGTAGGTCAAGCATGTGCTGAGAGTGCTGAAGTGAACTAACCCTGAAACAGAAACTACTACGGAGTAGGTTATGTTCAGAGAATAAGTTGCTATGGCTACTTACATAGCCTGAAAAGTTACCTCCGTTTTTGGAAGCGAAAGCTGAGTTTATCCGCTTACTTACCCTTAAACATACCCGGGTATGTCACATAACCTGCTTTCTGGAATACCCCCCAGTTAAGTTTTAAGCCCAATATTTATGGCAAACTTGACAGGATAAAAGAAGGACCCACCTATCCTACTGCAGATGGTGACCAACAGCTCCCCTACTGTTTTGGAGTCATCCACCATTATGGTTTTGATGGTTCCATCCAGCATTTTGATCTTCTGAGGTCTCTGTTTTTTCTTGTACTCCAGGACGTCCTGTACAGGATGAGAATAAGTGCTGAAATTAAGCTTAGAATCACAATGGAAATAAAAACTTACGAAAGTCTGAAGAGAATACAGATAAGCCAAAATAATGTGATTTACCCCGTTCCGCAGCATGTAGTAATCAAGGGTGCGCCCTGATTCCAACCAGATTCCTTTCCTGGGGTCATCATCGGACAGGAAGAGCCCGTAATCCGATGCTGCAATAAGTTTTACATAATTAAAACAACAACTTGCCCCATGGAAGCAGATACTAAATCAAAGAGATCCGGTTACGTCTACAAATACGTTTGTAATAAATATCAGACTCTTCATTAAACCACAAAGCAGTTTGTCTTTGATCCTAAAAGAAACAATTGACATTTATAAGATGAGTCCAATTCATTGTGGCCATTGAGGGCAGCAATCATGTGCATCGCATGGGAAAACAGTCATATAACTGTAGCTGGCCGAATAATGAATGCACACAGAGTGGCGGAGCTGCAGACTCATCCCGAAGTGATGACTCCTGTTGAGCTGATAGCGCACAGGAGTCCATTTCGCAAGCTCCAGCAAGCAGAGAACATTAATGCTCGACTTTGTGGCCGTTTGATGACTTGAGTGGAGATGGAAAGAGAAAGAGTGCACTTATCCATCAGACTCACTCTGAAGCAAAACTGGTCATCAGCTGAGGTTGCACATAGCGTAACACTTTACCGCCCAAGTTTTGACATGACGGATACAGAAACATCTACTGATGTGAAGCAGCTGGTATAGACAACCCGAATCCAAACTTTTGTCAAGCTCTGCAGATTTTTACAAAATTTAGACCAAACATAAAAGTTCCCCCTGCCCCAAGTGTGTTTAAGGAATATTTAGATAATACTATCATCTGCAAAAATGTAGTATTCTTGGTTTCTCTAACACAGTGTATATTTAAATCCATTCCAAGTAATTCCAGAGTTTTCCTCAGAAAATGTGACAAAATGAGCCAATTTGAATACACTTGTGTCAATTATGAAATTGTAAATATGATTCCAAAATTGACCTAATTAACTTAAAAAACTTGAATAATTCAGTGTATTTTATTCCAATAAAATAAAAAAGTCATCTTTAATCAAAACGTAGTAACTTGTTGTGCCTCTAAAATGACTTGCCTTTTCAGGTGGTCATCAAGGCTGGTTAAAAAGTAAAGCGTACAATTTTGCCTAAAATTCACCAAACAGAATTTCAAAAAGACTTGCGAAAACTTTCCTGAACACTCCCCCATCTACCATTGGTTGAACAAAAAGCTAGTCCCGCCCCCAAACTCACACCACTGATTGAGCCAGTGTTGTTGTGTCTGGCTGGTTTGATGCTCAAACAAACAGAAATGTTTTGATAACATCGTAAAGGGGGGAGTTGTAGTAAAGCGTTGTAGAGCGTAAAATGGTGGGAAGCCTAGAGGAATATTCTGCAAATCTTACCTTGTCCACTTTGGGCCTCTGGAACTCGCTCTCTGATAATCCTGCAGGCGTCGTAAACCGGAGTTGAGGGCTCAAACTGCATCGTCTTGACCACATTGCACTGTCGCACACAAATCTTCAGCGACAGGGCCACCATAGTGACTGCTGCTCGAATGGGAGCACCCACTAACACACCTGTAGAGACCAAAAGAAACAATCTGTCAGTTTCTCTGAAACGACCAGCACCCGTTCATTCTTTGAGGTCCACACCACTACATCAAAACATGTTTTAATCTGGATTAACTGGAGCAGACGTAAATGTGAACACAAGTGATTTGCAGTGGAGTTCAACTCTAGCACTGGTTAATGAAATATGCCCGCCACTGATGATAAGAGAGCGAGATCAGAGCTTTGTGTAGGCTTACAATATGAGCTTCTTACTGCCAAGAGACGGCTGTAATGTAGTTATTAGATTAGTAGAACAGCACTGCCCTTTAAATACTGAGCAGAGGAAAAGATTCTACTGCCAACTGGGTGTTTAGCCTAAGCTCACTCAACCTCAACCAAATATCACAGCTATGAAATATAATCTTTCCACAAGAGAGAAACCTTCCAGTTTTAAAAATCAGGTAAAGTGGTTATAGAGAGACTAAGATCAAGCAGAATATTTCTGAATTACGGTAGTGTTTGATTGACACTACAAGATATCAATAGAGATCAGCAAATCACAAGATCAGATTCATAACCATCAAACTCAGAGCCGAAATCAGACTGGCGACAGACAAAAGAGTAGAGAAGTGACTAGTAACTGAGATCAGATTCATAGCAGAGATCAGATCTGCAGAAATCAGACTTGTAACTGACATGAGATTTTTTTACCTGAGATTTGTTTGGAACTGAGATCAGACTAGTGACTGAGGTCAGATTTGTATAAGAAATTTGACTCATATCAGAATCGCAATAGATCAGATTAATACCAAAGTTTTGACTCCCAACAGATCAGACTCAAAGCAGCGATCAGATCTGCAACAGAAATCAAACCCTGTTGGAAAAAAAACAGCATATGCTGGTTAGGTATGTTTTGAAGCTTGGCAGCTGGTTTGAGCTGGTTTAATATGCTCCTGCTCATAACCAGCTTATAACCAGCTCAGGACCAGCTTAAACCAGCTCAAACCAGCTGTCATGCTTCAAAACATACCTAACCAGCATATGCTGTTTTTTTTTCAACAGGGGATTCAGAGCAGAGATTTGACTTCTGAGATCAGAATTGAATTAGAGTATCAGACTTGCAACTGAGATCAGATTATACCAGAAATGTGACCCGTAACAGATCACACTCAAATGAAAGATCAAATTTGCAACATAAATCAGATCCAGAGCAAAGATCTGACTCGTAACTGAACTGACATGAAATTTGCATCAGTGATTTCATTCGTAACAAAGATGCAACTTGTAACTGAGATCAGACTGATAAGAGAGATCAGACTCATAGAAATTTGACTCGTAACAAATCAGACTTAGATGAGATCAGATCTGCAACAAAAATCAGATTCAGTGCAGAGATCTGACTCGTAACTGAGATCAGATTTGTACCAGAGATTTGATTTGTAACAGATCAGACACAATATTTGCACCAGAGATTTGTTTGTAACTGAGATCAGATTTGTAAAAGAGGCTTGACTCGTACCACAGATTTGACTCCCAACAGATCAGACTCAAAGCAGCGATCAGATTTGCAACAGAGATCAGATTCAGAGTAGAGATCTTACTTGAAACTTAGATCAGAATCGTATTAGAGATTTGACTCATAACTGAGATCTAAATCATATCAGAGGTTTGACTTGTACCAGACATCAGACTCACAACTGAGATCAGATTTATACCAGAGATTTGAACTGTAACAGATCAGACTCAAATGAGAGATCAGATCTGCAACAGAAATCAGAGCACAGATCTGACCTGTAACTGTCATGAGATTTGTACCAGTGATTTTATTCGTAACAGAGATCCAACTCTTAACTGAGATCAGACTCATAATTGAGATCAGGATTGCATAAGAGATTTGACATACTAGACATTTGACTCATAAAAAAGTCAGACTTAGATGAGATCAAATCTGTAACAGAGATCAGATTCAGAGAAGAGATCTGACTCGTAACTGAGATTACCAGAGTCTGTACCTGTACCACTCTGTACCAGAGATTTGATTTGTAACAGATCAGACACATAACGTAGATCAGATTCATACCTGAGAACTTACTCGTAACAGAGCACAGACTTGCAAAAGAGATCAGACTTACAATTAATATCAGATAACAAAGATATCGTAACCAAGATCAAACTGCCATCTCACCTGTATCAGATTCTTATATGCATCATATTTAAAGAAAATGGTTTTGCTTCTCTGAGGCCTCACAGGGTGAAGTACACCAGAATATGGGTAGTGCTGTAGTAAAAGACCCTGGCCAGATTCTGTGGCACTTCCACTTGACAAAGTACTTTAAAATCAGTATCAAACTAAAATAAAAATCAGAAACTCAGACCAAATAGAGGAGACATACTCTCAAATCAAAGAAACCATTATAAACAGCCCAGAAATCACAGTCAGACAGTCCAGCTGAAATGATTGAGAGTCAGGTATGAAGTGAGATGTGTCTGTCTGATAGTATCTCACCAACGGCAGGAATACTTTAACAGAAGACAGAGAGGACTAATCTTTTTTCAATAATGGACTTGTGAACGAGCTCCACATTGTCTACTCACTCAGTCACCAAGTGTGCATGTGCGCGCGCGCACACACATACACACAATAATAAGCAGGGAGAAAAGCTCTGTATAGTCCTTTCATTCCTAGTAGGGTACACAAGGGACATGCAGAGGTATTGTGGACCAGATGAGAAGTCCCACAGAGACCACACACACATTGGGTTTCAATGTTTTATGGGGACATTCCATAGACGTAATGGTTTTTATACTGTACAAACTGTATTTTCGATTGTTTAATGACTTACTACATGACTTCCACCAAAAATTAATATCTGTAAAAAATAAAATAATAAAAATGCAAAAATATAAAGTTTATACCTTGAAAATATTGTAAAAGTTTTATATATATATATTAGGGGTGTGACGAGACACTTATCCCACGAGACGAGACACGAGACTGGGTTCACGAGAACGAGACGAGACGAGATTTTTAGACTTTTTTTTAAAGAATTCCTCAATGATGAAATATATAGGGAAAAATAGTCTTTTATTCAACTGAAAAACACAAAATGCAAAAAATGTAGGTGCATTTTGAAATCAACTTGTACTTTATGAAATTAAACATCTATTTTAATAAATTTTATGCAGTAATAAACAACATGTAAACACTGCAAAATGTTTTGCCACAAACTCAACTGACAGGCAAGTAATTGCACAAAAATTATAAATAGTATAAATAAAAATAAATAATAAACAACATAAATATCCCTTTAAAGTGGAAGTGAAGCAATCAGTCAAGTTTACATTATTTAGTAAACTGACTTCCACTTTAATATAAAAAAAATATATAATAAACACGATTAATGTATCCATTTAAAAGAATAAAGCAGTGGTTCCCAAACTGGGGGGCACTGCAAGGCTGAGGGATAGTTAGGGCCTTTATCTTTTAATTATTGAAAATTAAGCAAACAAGATTTTTTGGCAAACAAAGGGGATTTACTATTAAAATTAAAACATTGAAGAAATGTTTTGTGTGATTATTCCTTAAAAAAGAGTGTTTGTTTCATTTTAGTAGTAGTAGTAGGCAATGTACATTCTACTGAAAAATAGTTATAGGCACAATGTCTTCAAATCAAAACTGACTTTTATTTTGACGGGTTGCCGTGAATACCTTTACAGTTCTGTGTATGTGATATGACGCTAGTTTTACTCAAATCAAACGCTAAAATGCTCATGAAGTGACTCTCAGAGCAGTTCTGGAGATGTTGTTCATGTGTTTACGTCCCCATTTAGTGAGACGGCAGACGCTGAAATCACCGCGAGTGTCAGGCGTGCTTCAGTGTGTGTAGTAAATGAAACCGTGCGTCAGCACCATTCATTAACAGAGATAGGCAGAACATGCAGGATTCATATTTAAATCGACACTTGCGGCTTAATATTTACAGATACTAGTCCATATCGTGATTTGATTTAAGTGTAATGACCTACTTTTGATTAATTCATTCAACATTTGACAAATTCCGTGACATTCCGCGTTAAACTGTGAATTCTATTTTTATGACTAGATAAAGACTACACTGCGTAATTTTCCCGCTATCCATGCGGCCATTTGCCTGTTGTGAACATCAAATATCTTACATACCACCATGGTGAACGAGCCAGTGTAATGCAAATATATCTGAAAGGTCTTGCGAGAATATCGTCACATTCTCGCGAGACACATCGGATCTTGCGAGATCTTGTGCCACGAGATCTTGTCACACCCCTAATATATATATATATATATATATATAATTATACTAAAACCATATGAAACCAAACGATACATTACACGCACACAAACATACAATTAGATTTTTAAAATAATTTTTATTTTTTTTTATCACAGGCACTCTTATACATCCTTGGCCCTTCAGCTGTATTGTGAGAACAATTGTCTGACCTTGCTAATGTACTGTCATGCACAATGCACATGACCGCAAATCTATGGTTCATATATGACACTGAGTCTGCAAGATGGAGAAAGCAAAGTGACATACCACCTGCCCCCTTAATCTCTCGTCTACAACCTCCCAGAAGCCCCACACTGGGCACTCCCATTTCTCCTTCTGGCCCTTCGTGACAGACGCTGCAAAATACCTCTCATTTCTTACCGAACTTCCAGCCAGGCTCAAAGCATTCCACCTCTCACACTGTTCAACCCCTAAACAGCATGTGACTCTCTACATGCAGTAATAATTGACTTCTGGGGGACGCTAGGAAAGCAGGAATCGCCACAGTAATATAAGAATTAACCAAAGCCCTGTGCACTTTTTCAACTGATTGTGTTGAAAAATATAGGGAATGGATTTAAATACGGTAAAATGTACTGTTTTAAATCTAAATGTCAACAGGCTTTCCATTGCTATGTGGTTGCTAAGGTGTTCTAAGTGGTTGCTAAGGCATTGCTAGTTGGTTTCTAGAGTATTCTGGGTAATTCCAAGGTGGTT